CTTTCTGTCGCCATGTCCTTCGGTGGTCAATCATGGGCGATCAATCCCGCAGACATGAACCTTGGTCGCCTTTCTCGTGCCAGCAACCAGTGCCTCGGTGGCATCTTCGACCTTACGCAGGGCAGCAGCATCGTCAGCGGCGGCGGGAACCCGAACTGGGTCATCGGCGACGTCTTCTTGAAGAACGTGTACTCCGTCTACCGCACCGACCCGACACCGTCTGTCGGCTTCGCTGCGCTGTCGTCGAACGCGGGCGGCTCAGGTACGACAAGTGTACCTTTCACTACGCCGCCCGCCACGCTGACGACGGGGACGATAGGTACGCCCGCGGGAACGAGTACTGGCAGCACTACTTCAGGAGGGAGCTCGTCTGGCAGTGGATGTGAGTGGAAGTCCATCTTTTCCTTGATTCCATGCTGATGTCTTATAAGCTAACAACGATAACAACGCCTCGTCAAGGACGGCGGCCGTTGCGCCTGCGTTGGCCGTCGGCATCGCTCTTATGGCGACGTTCATGTCGCTAGTGAGGTGATCAAGCAAGTGGACGTTATTATTTGACGGGCTGTACAAGCTTCTTTGGTTTGTAGAATGTATTTATGCTGGCACTGCATAATTAACGACTTACCTTGCGAGATGCAGCATTCATAAGTCCCCACTGACAGCCATACTGCAACCTCGAAGCGACTGATCGCTTTCAGTTAGCGCCCAGATACGGAAGACTCGCCCAGGACTCGCCACGCGATGAGTCTGACGCGGCGGCACATGCTCGCGAGTCGCCACTCAGCACGTTTGTGAGCATATAGGAACGTTCAGTCAAAGTCTGCCGCGGCTCGCTTGCAACTGAATCAAGTTGAGCAATCTTTTGCACAGCTCTTGCAATAGGAAATCATGTCATCGGTCAGTTGAACTTGAACTTCACCATTTGCTTTGTTCCTCGCTCAGCGCACTCATTGAACATAGACTGCATGTTTGGAACCTTGCGAGTTGTAGGTAACTAGTCTTACTGGGACGTTGGATCAGTGTCGCACCTTATCGGAGTTGTCGGCATCTTGGAGGTAGTGTCTTGATTCTTCTTCGTCCATGTCCGATTTCCAACGTTTCTGCAGGAGCGGGACCCGTGGCAACCACGGACCGGAAAGGTTCTCGAGTCAGTCACTTCGAGTCTGCACCGGAAAGACTCCGACTGTGAGATGCATGTCTCCGCGCCAAAGGTCGGACAGATATAGGTGGCGGGCGCCCTGACATGGCGCTTACCAACCTAGCACAAACGCCCTCACTTGATCAAATGACTCGATGGCGTCGTGTTGGACAATATATAGGCGTGGCAGCGTCTATCACTAGTTCATTCTTAGGCGTCCTTCTCCTCTGTCCCAGCACCAACGACACGCTACTTGGCCGCTTACTCCAAGCGAAATGACCACCGCAGCGGCGCCCCCGCCTTACTCTCCCGCTTGCGACGCGCCCGCCTACACGCCATGCGCGCGCGCGGAAGAACGCGTCCTTTGCGCACGGCTTCGGGACAGCCAGCGAGTCCCCACAGGACACTTCGTACAACGATCTGGCCCAATATCCATCGTCGTTTACGACCAGGAGGAAGGCGCCACCACCCCCATATTCCGAAAGCGCGCCAGAATACGAGGCTCTATAGGGCTCTGTCAAGGCCTTCGAAGCAAAGCGGAAGAGGTCGTCTTTAAAGTGCGTAACTCATTCAGATATCTTCGACCTCAAAAGATGGCTGATTGTCTCATCAGGTGGAAGGTCGGCTCGAGCTGGCATACACCGGCGGGAGCTCCTTACTCCTGCACACGATTGACGACAACTATACTCTCTGGTCCAGCACCTCCGGGGGTGTCTGTCCTGGCGAGCTAGGCTTCTCAGCGCCGCTGCCGTGCACTTACGTTTCTCGTGATGGACGTTCACACCCGCTGCCACCGTCGTTCCGTTCCATTCATCATGGGGTTCCCGCTATCTTTGCGCGCAGCTACTATCGCGTGCGCGTGTTCATCTACAAGAAGCGACGCGGACCTTTCGGCCTAATCGCTGGGACTGAAAGGTGAGTACGTTTACGGCCGCACGCGGAGATGACCCAACTCAATACGCAGGTCGATGATGTCCTTCGAGTACTGCCCGCGGACGCGACCCGCGGCGCCGTTCTTTCCACTCGACAGCTTCCTTTCGACTATCAAGCACCAACCCCAAGAATGGATACAAAGCGCGATCATTGTGCAGTCGGTAGAAGGTTCGGGTCTTTGGCCCATTCATTGCCACGTCAGTCGTCGTTCTCTCGAACAGGCTCTGTTTGCTCACCGTTATTTGTAGCTTTTCTCACCGTCAGTCAAAGTGTTTGGTTTGACCGACAAAATACCCGTCCACATCCTGCTTGCGGGGCCGGTCGATTCCCTCCGACAGTTCGTGCCGTCGAACTATGATTCTACTGGGACGCAAAAGAAGGAAAAGGACGTCGCCTACGCGCACTACAGCTCCATTCGCGCCTCTATCGTGCGCGAGGTCATGGTCGAGGTGAACGGAGTCCGCGTCATGCGCTCCGAGTCCATCGGCGAGGGCCAGCTATGGCCGATACCACCCTCAGCGCACGTATGTGACTGCCGCGCCGGAACCGGCACTTGTCAGAATATGGATTGGGAGGGCGAGCTGACCTGCCGTAAGGACATCACAACAGGAGGCTTCGCTGCCGGTAACTTGTGGGTGCAGGTGCGTTCGACCTCTGTTTGCTCTCTGGTTGCTATCGATACTCACGTCGCCCACCAGGACGTCATACAACTTGATCTTACGCCTCTGCGTCCGTTCACTATGAAGCCTGCTCGAATGCGTGTGCCTGTGAGGTTCACGACCGAGCCATACCTAGAACAGGATACGCCAGATATGGACCTGCTCGATGAGCTTGTTCGAGCCGTACAGCCTGTGCGATGAGCACGTATATGATCGTACAACATGGTTTTGCACTGTACCGCCGCCAAAGAGCATCGCTGTCCGGCGCCATGCGAACTACCGGCGCCTGGCCATCGCTCCTTGCACGGAACGGCGCTGCAAGCGTACGGCATGCGTGCTCAATCACCCACTCGCTGATATTGACCAACGCGTGCGACGCGGTGAAGGCGCGCGGCGGGGAACGCATATGTGGTGTTGTTTCTGACCGATCAGGATTCAGACGACAGTTTTAGGGACACTTGCTTGTATACACGATCACCTTGCTCTTCAACGTACTACTCAGAATACTCCCGATACCAATATATAAGAAAACGCATACATACATCCAATACGATGAGATCCCAGCCCCATACCGCGCTCGTTCTAGCACTTGAAGACCTCAGGGCCTAAGAAAGGATTATAAGTGGGGAGTGCTTTGTGCCAAGAAAGCAGCACTTACCCGGAACAGTGTACGAGTCAAGGGTCTGGTAGATGTTGATGGTGATGCCAGGGTCAGAGCCCGCGTATGCGCCAGGGAAGCTGACCGTCTCCGGTGATGTGCTCCCTCCGCCCGTAATTTCGATCTGCGCACACTCCATCTGTAGAAAACGAAGTTGAACCCATCGCCTTCCGCCTACAGTTTAGGCGGCACTCACGTAGAATTGCGCGCCGGGGTAGTTGCTCGCGCCGTGCAGCGCGATGAGCTCATGGCGCATGAGGTAGTACCCGGACTCGATGCAAGCGGGGATCTCAACCGTGACCTTCCCGTCGTTCGCGATGAGGGTGTCCACGCCCCAGACGCCCGACGAGGCGTCGTAGCCCTCTTCCTGGATCTTGAACCACGAGAGGCCGGACACGTCAAGGCTGGTTGGATCATCGACCTTGGCGAGGTAGGTCATGACGGGCCCCTTGTGCGATGCATCGATTGGATCGGCGGCGTCGGCGGCGTCGGCACCGTTCAGCGTGTGGTGCCACTCGGCGATGACTTGCGAGCCGGCGGGGACGGTAACGACCTCTGTCGGGACAGGTGTGTGGTAGGGGTTTATGCCGCCGTTACAGATGATGTCTTGGGGAGGTCAGCTTCGGACGAGAAGAGATGATGGAGTGGACATACCATTGGAAGTAACGTCAGAAATGGGCTGGTGGAGGGATGAACAATGTTCATCTGTGGCAAAGGAGCATCTTACACCATCGTAGTCGGGCACACGGATTCCGACGAGCTGACCCTGGTCAACACCATCTACATACATTTTCTGCCTCGCTTGTTAACCAGGAAGAATTTTGCAAGGATGAGCAGTACCTGGAAGATAGTATGCGCAGATGCGCTGCCAGCGAGTAGAGCTGCGGAGAGGGCGGCGGTAGTGACAGACTTCATCTTCCGAAGCAAGGTATGCTCGAGAGGGAATCAAGAGTGGGTGGACACCTCGAGGAAGAGGCAATATTGCACCCTTTATAGGAGCAGCAGCCTGAGGCACCGCAACACCCGCAGCCCCGCGCTCGTCCCATGGTGACCCTGCCGCTTGAGCTTGAGCTTCCATCTCATTTCTCCGTGAGCAAATTCCGAGGTTACGAAAGATAGGCTGAGAGCTTCTGAGCGAGAGCTTTGGATGGTACTCTCTGCGTGACGTCAGGCTGAAGAGGTTAAATCCTGGAGAAAGTCCGGGGGGTAAAGATGCGCTGGGCAGTCGCCTGCCATTCACTCGCGGTGGGCTGCCATTCGCCTGCCATGCCTCTAATTGAGTCCCGGGCCCTCCCAACAACAGCCCATCCGGCCCACTTGTCATGGGCAGATTGATGCATTGTCGGCAGGAGCGTTCTCGGAGTCCGAGACACTCACTGTACAATGCTTTAGCGCGATGCCGGATGAAAAAAACGTACTTACGGGTAGTATGGGCGTACTGCACAACCTGCAGTAAGTAAGCAGGTCTTTGTGATCGACTGGCCGCCCTCGTCGTGCAGAGGATCATTATGGATGTGCAGGGCTGAGCGCTGACCCATCGCGAACAAACCGTACCCTGCCCTCGCCGGCTTTCAAGATTCTGTGAAAGAAAAAGAGGGCATAGTTGCTCGGGTGCATTAAGGGGGAATCGAACCCCCGGCGGGTCGAAGGACATAACAATGGCAACGACCCAGGTTACCACTACCCCATTAATGCTTACTATCCTCCGAGCCGCTTTTGTTTGGGGCATCTCGAGGGCGCGCGCTTTGCGACAAGGCAGTAAAAGTGGTGGTGACGGAGTGTTCCCAAAGGCGAATATTAGTTGATAGCTCTACAGTAGCTGAGAAATAGGGCATTAGGTGGACAACGGCAAGACCTTCTTGCCGGAGACGTGTGGAGGGCATGAGTGCCAGTACGAAGGAGTCGTTGATTATTACGCCACAAAGTGGCCACTCGCGCCACAAATCAGGGGTGTGGCAATTACGTGGGAACGTCCCCCTAAAGCCCCTTGACACGCAAGCGCACATGCTATATAAGCCGCACCGCTTCCTTTCTCCCCTCACCGCGCCCCGCCCGCCGTCGTCTGTCGGTCGTCGCCCGCGCCGCCGCCGCTCTATAGAATAGGATCGTGTAAAAGAGGACGCTAGTAAAACCCCACATCGTCCATTTGCGATGTCGAACAAAATTGTGGTAAGCCACCCGCGCCCTTTGCGCAACGAGACCGCGAGAGTGACATTTCGCGCTCCGAGCCCTCGATATACCGCACCGTCATCGACGATGTGATCGCGAACATCAAGCCCGAGTTCGACGAATACGGCGTAACACAGGAGGTGCTCGACCAGCTTCAGGACGTGCGCGCGCATTCCCGCCCATTCCCCCGCGCCGAACTCACGCATCACAGAAATGGGAGCAGAAGGTGATCAACTCACGCGTCGCCGAGTTTGAGAACAATCCGCCGCCGCCGCCACCCGCACCGGTCGCGGCCCCGGCTCCTGCAGTCGCCCCGCCCCCCATACAGCAGCCAGCGCATCACCCTCATTTGCCACAGTTGGCATATCCGATGTACTCATTCAACTACGCGCCACCGCCGGGTCCTCAACCGCAAGTGAAAGCCGAGCCAGCGGACGCTGCGCGCTACCAGGGCCTTTATCAGCTCCCGAAACCAGGTGTTCCGGGCACGACAATTCCAGGGATGTACGCGCCTCAACCACCGCGGCCTCAAAGCGGCCAGCCTCAGCAACAACCGCGTATACCGCAGGCAGATGGGCCGTCCGCACAACCTCCTCGACCGACCCATCCGTCACTGCAGCCGACCGGACCACCGCGTCCGCCTGTCGTTGCGCGGCCTGTGTCAGTGCCCGCGCCGGCTCCTCTACCAACTCCAGCACCTCGGGCGCAGGCAGAGGACGATGAGGAGATCAACTCCGATCTCGATGACTCGGACTCGGACATAGAGCAGAACGGCGAGGAGCAGGCAACGAGCGGTGCCACGGATGGTGATATCGTCTTCTGCACGTATGACAAGGTATGGTGGGATGCTTCATGGCACGTGTGGGTTGAGCCTAATGGTGCATCACCCTCAGGTCCAGCGTGTCAAGAACAAATGGAAGTGTGTGCTCAAGGACGGCGTGATACACATGAATGGGCGCGACTACCTGTTTTCAAAGTGTACAGGGTGCGTGAGCCGTCTCATCGTATGTTGGTCTGTTTGCTGACCTTGCGCAGAGAATTCGAGTGGTAATTCTACAGTCTCGCGACTCTCAATCTGCTGGTTGGCCTGTAGAGGTCGTCCTGCCTGGACTTTTCGCACCGGTGCTCTTTTGTATACTTCAAGTCTGCCACCGTCCCTTTCCCCAAGACTCATTACCTATCTATATCTGCTCATGTTCACCCTCCATAATCCATGTGCATACCTCATCCATCAAAGTACCGTATTCACCCTCATGGCGCACCATACACATACCTACGACATAAACTACAGCTCTTCTACAAAAAGCATGTTTTGCGCTTGTTTGGCCCAGCCGGCCTGAGACACCTCAGCGTCGTGCAGCGTGTTGTCTTCACGTCTCATGGAACCGTGGCAGGTGCGCTCTCAAGCCAACAGGACAGCGTGCTGGCAGAGGACGTCGTGCGGGCGACGCGCCAGTCAGCGATCACGGTCGCATGTCTAAGCGGCATGACCAAGGGCCGACAAGGGCCGACCCTTGTCTTCATCCGTGTACGCTCCGACTTGCTCTCATCTTCTCTAGGACAAGGCCGTGGACGGTGTCCTCATACCCGTCGCTCCTTTGGGCGTTTCGCTGGCCTAGATCAGCGTCTTCCTGCTTGACGCGCCTTCACGAGACCATCTTCTCCATCATCCTCGCACATCCCCTCCTGCATAACGCCATCCACCCATAGCATTGTAAACGTGTCAAAAACCGAACCGTGCTCTGTAGCACTGCATCATGGCACCCTTCGACTTGGACGCGTGCATCCAGCGCCTGCTGAAGAAACAACTGCTGCATGAGGCGCTTCTTCGGGAGATATGCGAGAAGACGAAGGAGGTTCTCATGCGAGAGAGCAACGTTGTACACGTTAGTGCACCAGTGACAGTGGTGGGGGATATACACGGGTGAGCGTTGTTGACGCGTCCTTCGTTCTCTGCTTCCCTCATCGCGACATTACGCTGCACACACTGCATCCCTTCTTCGCGTCTGTCCCGCGCCTTCATCACTTTCCCCGATCGTGTCTACGTTCCGCGACATGCAGACTCCCCTCCATTGGTCCTAGGAGTCGCCGTTAACTCAAGCCTAAAGCCAGTTTCATGACTTGATCGAGATCTTCCGCATAGGCGGCTATGCACCCCACACAAATTACCTCTTCCTCGGTGAGTGTCTGCGAGTTCATGCGCGTTAGACGCTCATGGCATCCTTTAGGTGACTACGTCGACCGTGGTCTGTTCAGTGTAGAGACGATCTCCCTTTTGACGTGCCTCAAGCTGCGATACCCTGATCGTGTGCAACTCATTCGCGGGAATCATGAGTCGCGTGCAGTAACACAGGTGCGTGAGCATGCTTCTTCAATGCTACAAAAACTGACCGTCTATGCTATGGCTTCCCCTCTTGGTCTTCTGCTACTGCTTCACCAATACTTGCCTCCCTTCTTATCTTCGCCGCCAACCTGCAAATAAACTACCATTGCGACCCTATCTCATCACATAGACATATGGCTTCTACACAGAATGCACGCGCAAATACGGCTCGTCGCATGTGTGGACATACTTCACGGATATGTTCGACTTTCTGACATTGTCCGTCGTAATTGACGACCGTATATTCTGCGTACATGGAGGTCAGCGTCATCGTTCATATATATTTCTCGACCGAAAACTAACGTCTTGTCCACAGGCCTCTCACCTTCAATACACTCAATAGACCAGATTAAGGTGGTCGACCGGTTCCGGGGTGTGTACGTTCTTCGATAAACCTTCTCATATGCCTAACTTGCGTCCAGAAATACCTCACGAAGGCCCTATGGCAGATCTCGTCTGGTCGGACCCAGATGCCGAGAAGGAAGACTTCGCGATCTCTCCGCGCGGCGCGGGATACACGTTCGGCGCTGGAGTTGTCTACAAATTCCTCAACACAAACAAGCTGGGACATATCTTGCGAGCGCACCAATTATGTATGGAGGGCTTCACGCAGTTATTCGACCGGCATTTGAGTACGGTGAGTCGCCTAGCAACGGAACCTTCATCCCCCACTCATTGACCGCACCTCTCGCCCTCCAGGTCTGGAGCGCACCAAATTACTGCTACCGCTGCGGGAACATGGCCAGCATACTCGAGGTCTCGCCCGGGGGAGGAGGGAGCATCGTCCAGAGCGACAGCGGCGACTCGTCAGAACCGAGTAGGTCGTTCCAAGGCGGCGGAGGCTTCGTGGGCTCGCAGGCGACTTTCCCGAGCGCTCAGATCAGCGAAATCGGCTTCTCGGGAGGTAGGTACATGGGCGGTGGAGGGTATGGCCCGGGTGGTGGCAGCTACATCACCGGTGCCGACGGCGGGGATGGGATGTTCTTCAACGTGTTTGAAGCAGCCCCGGAGAATGAGCGGGAAGGGGTGGGGCAGCCGGGGGGTCCTGGAGGTCCCCAAGGGAGGGTGAGTGCCTTTCTTTGCTCGGTTTATTTCCTATGCGCGCCGGAGCTATCTGGCTCAGGTTGTGGCTTTTCCGTCATCCTTCTGGTTCGGTTCTGGGTTCCTGATAATCTTTGCAGCTTCCCGAATACTTTCTGTGACGTGGATTGCTATGTATTCTTTGTATGTATTCCTCATGCACTACGGACGACCTTGATGAGAACTCCATCTCTTGTGTGAGGATTGACCGCCGATGTGGGCTGATGTAGCGCATCTTTTGGCATCTTCTCATCTCCGAAAAGTACGTGCTCATCGCCTCACTTGTGCTGTAGATACCCGAGACGTGAACGCCCTATGCCAACCCTATGCAGTCCCTGTGCGTTCCTCGGTCCAACTTCATAACACGTTCTGTTGTCCGGACCGGAGTCCGAAGTTGTTCCCACGCCCCTTGAACGCCGCCTTCACTTTTTCCGAGTTCCTTCAACATTCCACCGTGCTGATTGCTTCAAAAAATCTGCAGACATCTGGCTGAAAGGCGTGATCTCGATGTGTGCTGAAAGGATGGCCCAGCAAATCCTCTGAGTCAAGTCCTGCCTAAATTCGGCACAATCACGGAGTCATTTCGCGGCCAAACACCGACCAACAGTCGACCGCAAAGCGAACCTTGCTCACCACCGTGGCCTTCAACATGACTGTGCGTCTTTCGTTGACAATCTTCCTCGACCACGACCACAAACTGTTAACAATCGCCCCGCCAAGCTGTCTTCGGGGAGTTGCGTTCCTTGCCGACTCATGTTGTCGTGTTCAAGTCACTTTGTCGATCACCCCAGTTTTGAAGGCGGGTTCCAGCGGCGAGATACCACAAGTAATGCCTTGAAGATCCGGACGAGGATTGGAGCTCTTGCGATTCGCTTGACCAGGAAGGTTGCCCATAGCACGGAGTGCGCTCCGGGCATCGGAGCGTCTGCCTTACGGAACAGTTCTCTTTCTGTGCATCTCAGCGCCAGCCTGTTTCATCTCTGGCTCGACGTGGACACACTGCAAGGCCACCCTCTGCTGGATGCGTGGTTGACGTCTAGTCGGCGAATGCAACGTCCCCGAGGGTAGATCGTCGCCGGCGGCAACAGATGTCCACTAACAAGGCACTACGGCTGTTATGTCCTCATTCCCGCGACCCCGATGCCTTGCAATCCGCCGGGGCCCTCCCCGCAGGCGCCCCAGGTGAGTCACCCCAAGTCAGAGGAGCCACTGTGCGCGCCCCCCGGACCTGCCTGACTAACCCGGCGAACGACTGGTCGCCAATGGCGAGACATCCCTATGACCGGGTGAGGCTGCTCAACATCTATGCTGGTCAAATTAATGACTCGACTTGGGCGCTTAGCACGGTATGAGGCGAGTGCTTATAACCACTGGAGACGGGCGCTTATGTTGCAAACATCTCTTCCCGGTTCAACGCGCAACCTGCCCTCATAGAGCTTGTCGACCAACACCGTCCAGCGCTCGCCACCACCAACAGAGTAACCTGCCGCACCCAACAATATCGCCAGATACTTACAACATGGCTGCCACCGAAATGAAAACGTATGGCGACGCTGTCGCCCACCACGACACGACCGCCATCCTTCCCCCACCATACTCTCCCGCCCCGGACGCCCCCGCTTACACCCCCGCCGCCGGTGCCGACGAGCGTGTCCTCCTCGCCCAGCCGCGCCGCCCTGGCGAGCGCCCCCTCACCGGGCGCATCGTCCACCACTCCGGCCCCATCTCGCTCGTCGTTCACGACCAGGACGAGAGCGGCACCTTCAACTCGGGCGACAACTCGTACACCCCCGTCTTCCGGCAGCGCGCTACGATCCGCGGCGTGGTCGGTATCGCTGCACGCCTCCGAGACAAAGTCGACGCCATCGTCGTCAAGGTGCGTGGTGCCGTCGTGCGCTGCCCGGCTTCGTGGGCTGATGATTGTGTTATGCAGATCGAGGGCCGCCTCGAGCTCATGTACTCCGGCGGGAGCTCGTCGATGGAGCGCACGGTCGACGACAGCTACACTATCTGGTCTGCCAGCACGGTAGAAGCCGGCGGTGCATGCCCAGGCGAGATCGTCTTCTCTTCGATGCTGCCCAACAGCTACACCGCCGCCGACGACCGTTCGCATACGCTTCCCCCATCTTTCCGCTGGATCCAGCACGGATTACCGGCCGTGTTCGTCAGGAGCTACTATCGCCTCCGGGTCTACGTATACGAGAAACGGCATGGCCCGTTCGGTATGCTTGCGGGGACCCGAAGGTGAGGGATTCCTCTGTTTTTCTTAGTCTCTCAATGCTGACTCGAGCTCTCCCACAGGCTCCTGCTACCGTTTGACTACCGCCCGCGGACGCGCCCGGTAGCGCCGTTCTTCCCGATATCCTGCTTCCTCTCCACCATCAAGCACATGCCGGAAGAATGGGCTCAGAGCGCAGTGGTCGTCGAGCCGGTGCACGGCACAGGGCTGACCGCGGTGCAATGCCAGGTGAGTGTTCGTGTTCTTCGTACCGGCGCATCTTCCTTTGCAGCAGCGCATCTTCCTTTGCTGCATTACCCATTCGCCGCTCCCTCACCACATTTGCCCCATACCTCTTTCATACACCCTCATATACCTCGTACTAACCAACTCACCACCCTAGTTCTTCTACCCCGCCGTACGCGTCTTCGCTCTCAACGACAAAATCCCCGTCCACGTTCTTCTTTCCGGCCGCGTCGACGCTCTCCACGCCTTCGTATCCCCGGAGGACGTGGTCGGCGCTCCTGTCTCCAAAAACGCGGCTCCTTCTTCCTACAACGCCGTCGTGAGCCATCCTTCCTCCAACGCGGTTGCGGCTCCTTCCTCCAACGCGGTTGCAACCCCTCCTTCCCCCAAACAAAAACCCACTAAAAAGCTCTGCCCACCCGCCACCGGCTCCGTCCGCGTATCCATAGTCCGCGAGGTCGTTGTCGACATCCGCGGCTCGCGCGTCATGCGCTCGGAGCGTATTGGAGAAGGGCGGCTGTGGCCTGTGCCGCCGTCCGCGCCGGCCACCAAACACGAGGGCCTGACCAAACACGAGGGCCTGACCAAACACGAGGCCACCGCTGCTGCCTCCGCGCCACAGTCATCCAAGAACGCCAGCGCGCTACGATTATCCAAGGATCCTCGAACGTCCAAAGACTCCATCGCGCCGGCGTACGAGAACGCGGACTGGGAGGGCGAATTGTCGGTCCGGAAAGATATCACGACGGGCGGGTTTACCGCCGGCGGGCTGTGGGTGCAGGTGAGTCGCGTATTCTTGTCTATCGTGGCGTTTTCTTGTCTATGTGGAGGAAGAGTATGAGGGTTGTGGACATGGAAGGCTGTGGGTTGTAAATGAGGAAGGCTGTGGGTTGTGGAAGAGGAGCACTGTGGCTACGGACGACGAACACCACTCCCTACGACGAACACCACTCCTGACGAGGAACACCACGCCCCCCGACGAACACCACAACTGACGACCCATCCAGGACGTCATCCTGCTCGAGCTCTCGCCTCTGGGCCCGGGGACGATGCAGCACGCGCGCATCCGCGTACCCATTCGGTTGACGACGGATCCATATACGGAGCCGGAGTGAGTGGTGGGCCGGCGTGCGAGTGGTGGGCCGGCGTGCGATGCATGGGTTGTACGCCGTGAGTTGTGGGAAGGCACGCGCCTGACCGGCAATGAAGACCTTGGCTGGACGACCTTGAAGACCTTGGCTGGACGACCATGAAGACCTTGGCTGGACGACTATGAAGACCTTGGCTGGACGACTTGAACGATAAACTCACCCGGACGCAGGTTCGCCTCGTTGAGTTGAGCTGAGCGTGTAGAGCGGAGCGTCGTCGTTGCCTCGACGGGGTCGCCGTCGCCACGCCATGGTCATCGTCCGCTCCAGATGGTCGCTGTCGCCTCGCCATGGTCGCTGTCGCCTCGCCGTGGTCGCCGTCGCCACGCCATGGTCGCCGTTGCCTTGCCACAGTGGTCGCCGTCGCCACGCCACGCCATGGTCGCCGTTGCCTTGCCACAGTGGTCGCCGTCGCCACGCCACGCCATGGTCGCTGTCGCCTCGCCATGGTCACTGTCGCATGGTCATTGTCACCTCGCCATGGTCGTCCATCTCCTCCACTCTGACGCCCGCCGTGTCGGCAACCCATGTGCGAGGCGGATGCTAGCAAGCTGACGGTGATGACCAAGCCTGATGACAGCTGCTTCACCAATGGGACAGCTGTGGACCAAGGTTCCTACTAGGCGGTTAGCGAGGGACCACAGTGGACACCTACCGCGGATCGGCTGGGGATCTTTTTCGATAGTTTCCTCGTACATTCTTGTGTTTACCACATGACTACGTTCACAACTGAGTTGCTCGGCACTCAAGTACTCAGTACTCAAGGCGTGTAACTACAAAATGAAAACTGGCTTTTGTGGCCACCGGCCTTTTGCTCCCCCCTCTCTTCCTATCCCCCCTCTCTTCCTATCCCCCCGTCCTCCCCTTTCCCTCTCCCATCCCATTCTATCTCACTCACACTCCCATTTAACCTCCCCGCCCCTCCCCGCTCCCACTTCTACTCTTTATGCATCAATGGGGTAGTGGTAACCTGGGTCGTTGCCATTAGGAATACGTGTCGTTGCCATTAGGAGTACGTGCCATAAGGCGTCTTTCGACCCGCCGGGGGTTCGATTCCCCCTTGATGCACTGGGGAGCAGAAATTGAAGGTTTTTTCATTCGGGGCGCTGGGGGGGGGGGGGGGGGGTTGTTCAACGTTCAACGTTCATTCATGGTCCTTTTCATTAAATTTATACTTATGGTTGCCACACCGCCCCTCCATGTCCATGGGTCGGATTGCGTATTGAACATTCTCCTCCTCTGCTGGTCACATTCTCCGAGCTGCCTCCTCATCTGCTGGTCACATTCTCCTGCCTCCTCAATGCCCGTCCCTCCCTGAGAATGCTCACGGGTCACCATTGGCATTCCCCTTGGACATGGGTCACTGGCCCGCCAAACCTCCTCATTCCCCAACCCTCCACCAGCACCCCCTCCCCCACCTCCTCATGGGTCGGTGGCGTAGTTGGTTATCGCATCTGTCTAACATAATGTAATAGACCGGGATGTTCTGCACAGAAGGTCCTCAGTTCGAACCTGGGCCGACTCATAGGTTCCTCCTGCCGACTCATAGGTTCCTCCTGCCGACTCATAGGTTCCTCCTGCCGACTCATAGGTTCCATCTTGCAGAGGATTGCTTTTTCGTTCTCTTGAGTCAGGAGGAGGTAATTTGTCGGGAGGGAGTGGAGTTCTTTGTCGGGAGAGAGGGAGAGAGGGATCTGATTTCGTGAAGGGGGAGTTCTATGTCGGGAGAGAGGAAGAGATCAGCTTCCCTCGGAGAGAGAGAGAGAACTCTGTCAGCTTTTGCCTCGATCAGACTCTGCCTTGCAATGGGAAACCTTTTTTTTCTTCTTACATAAAGATGGAGAGACATCGCACCATGGCTTCCAACCCCGACCGCCAGCAGCCGGCCCCCGAGGACATCGTCTACGACGATCGCCCTCAGGGATCAACTGCCGACCACCCCATGAGCGACGCCACTGCGCCGCGAGGGGGAGGGAGTATACCGGCAACAACGACAGGTGGTCCCGGTGCAGCGTGTTCTTGCCTTCTCGAAGGAGGCCTAAAGAAGAGATCTGCTTGCTTTCCCGAGAGCAGTTCCTCCGCCCTTCCGCGCGCAGCGCGATATCCGCGACCATTGCGGTAATATACACTGGTGAGCATACAGTGGTCGATTGGTGTTTGTGCCGGACCATGCAGCTGCCAGTGCGAGGGGATTGCGATTACGAAGGAGAGCGGTAGGGATACACGGGAGGGTGTGGTAGAATATATACATAGGGAGGGTGGTCATAAGGATACATGCGAAGGGGGATGGTAGGGATACAGGATCGGATGAGAGGGATACAGGATCGGATGAGAGGGATACAGGATCGATGAAAGGGATACAGGATCGGATGAGAGGGATACAGGATCGGATGAGAGGGATACAGGATTGCAGGATTGGATGGTAGGAATATACGAGGAGGGAGGTAGGGATACAGGCAAGAACAATACTTAGGAATAAGTACAAGAAAAAAAGACCAAAAGAACATACACGATTTTCAGGGCACAAGCGAGGGGGCCGACAACGAAGACGAGAGAAAGTGCGGGGGCCGTCAACGAGGGCAGAGGAGACGATCGCCAACAATAACGAGGGCGGAAGAGACGATCGCCAACAATCCCGAGGGCGAAAGGGACGGATCGCCGACGACGACGACAAGCGAGGGGGCCGGGGACGACGACAGGCGAGGGAGCTGGCGACGACGACAGGCGAGGGGGCCGGCGACGACGACAGGCGAGGGGGCCAGGGACGACGACAAGCGAGGGGGCCGGCGACGGCGACGACAAGCGAGGGGGCCGAGGACGACGACAAGCGAGGGGGCCGAGGACGACGACAGGCGAGGGGGCCGAGGACGACGAAAGAGGACGCCGGGGACGACGTCGGTAAAGACAGGAACGAAGTCGGTAGCGACAGGAACGACGTCGGTAAAGACAGGAACGACGCCGGTAAAGACAGGAACGACGACGGAAGAGGACGCCGGCACCGACGAAGACGGCGGCAAGAGAGCGCCGGGGACGGACGGCAGCAAGAGAGCGCCGGGGACGACAACGACATCGGCCAGTCCAAGCACGGCCCCCTCCCCCCCCCCTCATCCCACTCCTACTCACCCCTTCTTCCCGCCCCGCTTGCGCTTCTTCGACGTCGGTCTTGTTGGCTCCACCACAACAACTTCACCAGGGATCGACGCGCCGACGTCCATGTCTGGAATCGAGGCGCCAACACCGACGTCTTCGACAGGGACGGAGGCGCCGACGTCCTGGCCTGGAATCGACGCCCCAATCCACCTCGCCGCATCCGCCGCCGCATCCGCCGCATCCGCCGCCTCTTCCGCCGCGTCGCGCATCGCATTCGGAAGGGATGGGTCGTCGGCGGTGGCGTTGGTGTCCACCGCCTGCGTCTTCTTCGCCCGCGTGGGCTTCGGAGGCTGCGCGGGCTTCGCAGGCTGCGTGGGCTTCGCAGGCTGCGCGGGCTTCGGAGGCTGCGTGGGCTTCTTTGTCGCCTTCTTCCCCCGCTTGCGCTTCGCGGGCGTGCCGTCGTCGCCGTCCATCACGGGTACGCCATCGTCGCCGTCCTCAGCCTTCGCGGGACTCTTCTTCGTTCCCCGCGCGCGCTTCACGGGCGTGCTGATCCCATCCGCCGGGTCGTCGTGATCGTCCACCGTCTTCGCCTTCTTCGTCCTCCGAGCTGGAGCCTTAGCCTTCGTCCTCCGAGCTCGAGCCTTAGCCGGGACCGCGAAATCCCCATCATCCTCTGTCCTATCCTTCCCTCTCGTCACCCGCCTCGCCCTCGCAGGCCTCACACCGACGACCTCTGCCCCTTCCACCCCGCTATCGTCATCTCCGTTTTCCCCCTTCTTCCCACCCCCACCACCCCCACCCCCATCCCCATCCCCACCCTCTCCATCCTCCTCCTTCACCTTCCTCCCCGACTTATCCCCCCGCCAGCCAGGGGGGCGGAGGATGGCTGCGATGAGGATGGGGTCAGTTTTCTTCCTTTATGGGGAGTTTTCCTCCTTTGTTCTTTTCATCCGGGAGAGAGCAAAGGGAAGTGAGGAGGTAGAGGGGCAGGAGGGTGGTGAGTTCAGGGATAGGGAAAGGAGGTAGAGGTGGGCTAGGAGGGCTAAGGGGAAAGCGGGGTAGAGGAAGAGAGGGAGGAAAGAAGGGCTAAGAGGGTAGGGAGGGAGAGGTGGGCTAGGAGGGGTAGAGGGCGAGGAAGAGGGGATGGGGAAGAGGGAAGAGGGAGAGGGCGAGGAAGAGGGCTTAACGTGGGTGTCACTCAAACAAGGAGGAGAAGACCGAACAACCAGGGTGTCGCTCAAACAACGAGGGTGTCGCTCAAACAACCAAGGTGTCGTTCAAACAACCAGGATGTCGCTCAAACAACGAGGGTGTCACTCAAACAACCAGGGTGTCGCCCAAACAACGAGGGTGTCGCTCAAACGACCAGGGGTATCGCTCAAACGACCAGGGGTATCGCTCAATAGATCAATCACTCACCCCCATCCACCGCCCCCAACCCATCCACCCCCGCCAACCCATACGTCCGATACAGCTGCAGCACAGCCTGCTCCTTGTCCTTGGCTTCGATCATGAGGTCTGCGGTGGGGGGTTGGGTGTTAGTTAGGTAGGGGCGGTTTATAGGGAGAGGTGGGGAGAGAGGTTCATTCTTTGAACAACCAGGTCGAGGCGTCGGCGGAGGTGAAAAGGGAGGTGGGAGAGGGGAGAGGGGAGAGGGGAGAGGGGAGAGGGGAGAGGGGAGAGGGGAGAGGGGAGAGGGGAGAGGCGTCAGCCGAGCCCCAAGGGGAGAGGGGAGAGGGGAAGGAAGGCAGCCGAGCCCAAAGGGAGGTGTTAGCCGAAGCCCGGGAGGGGAGGCGAAGCCCCCTTCCACTCATCCCCTCCCCCCTTTCCCCCCTTTTCAACCAACCGTCAAAAACCACAAACACCAACCAAACCACAAACACCAACCAAACACCAACACCCAAAAACGACTCAAAACTCACCCACATCATCCCAAATAACCTCCGGCAACCTTGCCACCCGATCCGCGTGCGCGCGGCGTTCGGGGATCGTGAGGGCGCCCGGGCGGGGCTGGGGGAGGGGGAGGGGTTAGTTTTAGTTTTAGTTAGGATAGGCATTGAGGGGGGAGGGGGGTTGAGGTTGAAGGTGATTGGTATAGCCGTCAGTGTTGTTAAGGTTGAAGGGATGGAAGGGGGAAGGGTGGTTGTACCCACCCCCAAAGGGGAAGGGGGAAAGGGGGAAGGGGGGAAGGGGAGGGTGGAAGGGGGAAGGGGGGAAGGGGAGGGTGGAAGGGGGAAGGGGGGAAGGGGAGGGTGGAAGGGGGAAGGGGAAAAGGGGAAGGGGGGAAGGAAGGGGGAAGGGGGGAGGGGGAAGGGGGAAGGGAGGGGGGGGGGTGGTCACAAACAAATTGGGTGGCACAAACCAGGCATGGGTGGCCACAAATTCGGCATGGAAAAGGGGGGGGGGTATGGGAGTACGCGACCAAAGCCCTGATACGCGCGACCAAAAACCCTGCTACGTGACCAAAAGCCCTGATACGCGTCCAAGAAACCCCGAACTCAACCCGAACCTCAACTCAACCCGAACCTCAACTCACCTCACTCAAATGCGCCTTCGGCCTAATCCCGCGGCGGTCCCAGATGGCGCGTGCGCGAGTGAGGATTTGGGGGATGGTGAGGGCGGGGATGCGGGTTTCTGTGTTGGAGGTTTCCGTGTTGGAATCTTCTGCATGCGGGCTGTCTTCGTATGTGTCGTCGGTGTCGTCCGCGGTGTCATCGTTGACGGAGGTGTCGGCGGCGGTGTCGGCAGAGGCGGCCTCATTGTCGTTAGGAGGCGTAGGTGCAGAAATATAGCCGGGGTTGATATCGTGGTGGTGGTAGTCAAAGACGAGCGGCACGTCGAGTTCCTCGCAGAGGGGGAGGAGGTCGGCGGCGGAGTAGCAGAGCTGGGGGGTGTGTGAGCGGAGGCAAGGGTGAGATGTGGGCCGTCTCACCTCGTCGTTCTCGAGTACGAGCCTCGCGCGGACGTGGGCGGGCAGCCTGGTGGTGATGGAGTTGCGGATGCGTGCGAGGGCGGCGTGTTTGTCGCCGTAGACGCCGCCTCCGTGGATGATCATGACGGCGTCGGGGCCTTGGCGCATGCGGTCGAGCATTTCGGCGTGGTAGGTGAGCTCGCGGATGCTGGCCTGGATGACTTTATCGTTCGGGCTGCCGAGCTGTGTGAACTGGCCCGGGTGGGTGGTGAGCCTGTGTCCGAGAGAGTTGGCGAGGTTGCCGGCCTCGGCGAGGACGTCGTTCGCGTACGCGAGATCGTATCCCCAGACTGGGTGTGACGCGAAGGGGAACATGTCGCTAGAGACGCGCATGAAGCGGATCCCGTGCTGCGCGTTCCACTTGATGAGCGTGATCAGGTCGCGCGCGTTCTGCAGGCCGAGGTTTTTGGCGAATGCGATGCCTTCTTTGGCGAGGGTGGCGATGCGGCAGGTGCGTGAGC